TTGTTGGCAATGAACAACGCATATGGGGGTGTATTGAAAAGTGAACACAAACACGAAATTTTTCAAATAATGAAAAATGTAAATTAACTGTTTAAAAAGAGAGAAATCTGAAAAAAAAAAAATACGATATAGCTTGTTTAAAAAAGTTCAAAAAAAATTTTTTTGATCATTTGTCGGTTACGATTTATTTTCTCACCGCACAATTCTTTTGAAACAGATATTGAAAAATAAAGAGGAAAAAGAAAGAAAGATCAAATTTGATGTCTCAAAAAGAGCTTCTGCAATATCGATGAAGTGGTAGATGTAATATAATAATAATAGCATAGAGCAAATACAATTTTGACAAGTCGTATGCGAATTTTGCAATTGATATTTGTTACAGGGGAAAACGATTATCTCGAATGAGTTTTGAAATTGCAAATGTCTATTAGCGGGTACTCTCGAATACGATAGAATATGAATTAAGGCCAGATTCATTAAATACGTTGAAGCTAAAAAACCGCAAATGCATGCTTTTGGAAGTGAAGTATATTAATTTCGTGAAAACAAGAACAAAACGCTAATTAAAAAGGAAGAAAATTGACTCATTCGACATCAACAAATTTTCACTGATATTCAATATAATATTTTTTCAAATACAGATTCCAGAATTTATGTTTATTTAGGTTTTATTATAGTTTTTTTTTTGTTGAAAAAAAAAACATTTGAAAACATTTGCTTAATTATTTATTTATTTTAAAATTTTTTTCACAGTATTTGAGAGAGAACGACTTGGAGTTATTTCTAGTTGTATTTGAAGCGTATATTTTAAAAACCAAAATTGTTTAGAGTTTAAAATGAGTAAATGTTTATTTTTTCTCAAATTTTAAAAAAAGTTTTTTTTTTGCATATTTTGATTATTATTCAACTTCTCATGATACATGTATCTTGTAAATATACAAGTTATGCTTAATATATCTTTTGCGGTCAGATATTCTTTCATCTTCCTCAACAAAGATTGATCATTTCGTTGTTTTTCAGTACTTTTGATATATGTTTTTTCTACTTTATTGTCCTCTTCATATTCTAAAATATTTTTTAAAATTAGTTCCTACTGCTTTAACGTTTTAAATTATTAAGATTTAAAATGTACTTGCCCTTTGCCCTCCGGCATTCGATTTTGCAGGGCTGGACAAGAAGAACTGCAGAAGGTGGAATTATGTCTTCGCAAGTACCTGTTAGGCGTATCAGATGACAGAAATTAGAGATGAATTTATTTGACTGAAAAAATTGCAATAAAAAAATTTAAAAGTGTAGAGAAAAACAATTGACAGTGATAGAACCCTTATTAATCAACTTCAAGGTTCAATGTATTCTTTTCAACGGTGTCAGAAGCAATAGCAATCTTGTGAAATTTTTGTTGAAAATTGAAGTTGCTCTTTTTAATCTCAAAATTGATACCGCGTTTGCTTGATGCAAATATGCTCCATCGTAACCGGATGCAAATTGTGAGTCGGTTTGGACAAAAGAATTTTTGCTCCGCCCTCTCTGTAAAGTCATAGAGCATTCAAAAATAAGAGATTTTTTGGACATTTGGCGTCGATTTGCAGTTCGTTTCGACAAATGCGCTCCATTGCAAGTTTCGCACCGACTCCAGTGGCACTATAAATAGCCGGCAGAATTCACAATATGGTCATTCTCGCAGCTCTCCGAGTTGCGAGCAGCCCACATATCATGCGGACACGTCGTGCCCCGCATAACCTGCGGGCTACGCGTCGTGCCCCGCATATCATGCGAACCCGTCGTGCCCCGCATAACCTGCGGGCTCCTCGTCGTGGTACGCATATTCTGTGGGCTAGCCGTTACCCGCCTATCCTGTGGGCTCGTCGTGGTCAAGGATTCACTCGGTATGTCAAAATTCATCGCAATCCTTTTTCTTAACTTCTCAAATTTCAGATCCGATGTGCCACAAGTTGTTTCTCATTCAAGCTCTTCGGATGTGATGTGTTGAAAGTGTCGGGGATTCTCGACTGGTGCGGCTCCGTCAGCCAGTACTAACCCTACTGCAGTGTCGCGTCCAGGCTGACGTTAAACCCATATTCATGAGTAGACATGTCACGTGAAGATGAGCAAGAAAGAGGAATGGCGAAAGGTTGATGCTGCCCGAGGCATCGAGTAGAGCGAGGAAGCAAAATCTAATGGTAAGGAAGGAGTCATCTTCTATCAGAATAACTTGAATAATTGCAGGAATTTTCAATCGAAGAAATTTAATCGGAGACGATTGCTCGAAGGCACGACGAAGAAGAGCATAAACGTAGGTTATTTAGTTGGTAAATTTTAATTTTTTTTCTTCTTTCTTTTTATTATTATTTTTTTCACTACCACCAGTCGTACCACTTACGACTCCCCCTTCTATATCCCACCACTTGGGATTCCGTCTCTCTTCTCCGTACATTCGTACCACTTACGTCTGTACTTCCTTCCGGTCCTACCGTTTGGGACCATCCCTTCAATGCCGGCTTCCCCTACCCTTTTCCTTCCACCAGTCGTACCACTTGCGACTGTCCCTTCTCTTTATCAGTCGACTGATTCCCTCTTCTTCCTGCCGTACCACTTGCGGCTTCCCATTCTATATCCCACCACTTGGGATTCTCCATCTCTCTCTCTCTCGGTCCTACCGTTTGGGACCAACCATATCTTCTTTTTTTCAGGGGAAAGTCGTACCACTTACGACCATGCCAGTCGTTCCACTAATGACTGGCTTCCCCTTTCGTATTATTGTTTTATTATTTTACTTTTTATCGTCGTTTTTATTATTCGTATTAATTTATTACTTACTTTATTATTATTTTATTTTACTTTTTAAATTGTTTTTTCAGATCTTTTTAATTGTTTTCAGATTTGTGTGCGTGTGTATGTTTAGGTATCGTCACTGCTGCAGTCGCCAATGGAAGGATACCGCGACTAGGTATCTCACACCACTAAGACTTAGAATCTAACACCCTAAGTGTCCCTAGCCTACTTAATCCGCCGTAGTCGGCAATTTTTAGGCCGTAGTCGGCAATTTTTAGGCCGTAGTCGGCAAATTTTAGGCCGTAGTCGGCAAATCCCCAAAAGCGCCGAAGCTTCCCATCCCCTTTAGTGCCGAGGCGTTGGCTGGATGGCGGCTTATCCGCTGTATCCTAAACTCGGGTGATTGGCCTGGCAAGCCCTTCAGCCCTGATTCCGTAGCCGGGAATCGAACCCTACCCAAACGTCCGTTTCAAGTACTCTCGAGTGCTTGGAAACTGCTAGTGGGCGTTATGGATGGTTATGCTTTAGAAATTTGCTTCACCGGGTGTCCTCCATACTAGTTAGGATGTCATCTGGACCTGACCTATATTGACGTGGTTTGGCCAGCTATGTCAATATGTCCAGCCTTTCGGGTGCACATGGACCGTGCTTCTTGGCATAGTAGCTTGCTACATTGTAGTGGCTTGCTGCTACTTTGTGGTAAGCTGCTGTGCTGAGAAGACAAAACCACATTACCATATCACCAGTAGACCCGGGGCCCAGCCAGACGTGGCTTGCACAACCACTTCTACTTCTATTATCCTCGGATGATAGTTGTGGGATGTCCTTGTGTGATCCCCATGGTGGGATCGGCGATGACCCACATTAGGTTTCGGCCTGATGCTGGTGAGCCTCTCCTTCAAGTACCGAGCCTCTACGTGGCGAAGGAGATCAACTGACTCGATCCGATGTGGATTGAGTCAGGCTAATCGGTACACAAATGCCAACTGACGTCTTTACGGCTATTTATGCACATATTGTTCCGAATGTAACGAAATTTTTTTATTAGGCCTTACGAAATGAGAAAAATTCATTTTTTACATGCTTGATGGATGTAGATGCTTGGGGGCCTAAGCGTGAACTAATCACTTAGCATACATAATCGTGGCACATTGTTGATGATATTGAATTAGTTAGTTTGAGAAATTCATCGAAATTTGTATTCCCGATAATAGGAGGTTACGATCGATCCATAAATTAGAATATCACTAGATGTTCCATCATGCTAAAGTTAATAGGCAAACGTTTTAGAACTCCTTTTTGAAAAAATATAATATTTGTTAAACAACGTTCTGTTTTATATGCAGGAAGAGCTGAGACTGGAAATAATCAATTTCTATTCTTGAAGAAATGTTTTGCAGCTTTATTTCTATCAAATTCTATCAAACTGCACAGAACGTCGCCGATTGCCGTAATGTATTAAGTTCTCAGCACATGTTATGATTCGGTCAACAAATAAGGTCATTCTTCTTACGTTGGAAAAACGACTATGACGGCTTTCAACGGTTTTTATTTACTTTTCTTTATTAATTCGTATGGGTTGATTTTTGATTGTAGATTTTTGCCTTTTCAATATGCTTCAAAGTACAACTGGATTGGTTTGCCCTCTCAGTTGCTGGATGTCAATAAGTGTTGCCAGAATGTGGTACTGTTGAATTTCTCTGCAGATTATTTCTTCTTTATCGTGAGTTGAATAAGGAAACTCAAACTAAAATTAATAATTCATATGTTCTAGCACCAATCGAGCAAAATCTGCTGCAGTAATTTATACTTCATTGTTTTTTTTTTGAAAAAAATTGAAGAATATGTAATCGTGCTAAATAAAAATTTTTTTTTGACAGCTTCTTATTTATGCCATTCTAGACATCTTACGTGCGTATCGAACTAAAAGTTCGTTATCAGTATTTTGATCCTGAGAGCGTGACTATTTTCAAAATATTTTGCTTTGGTTAGAAACCGAAAGATTCGCCTAAATCAGATGCACGCTTCATATATCACATGTATTTGGGTCCAATGTAGTCTCGCTAGCGAAGATATAGTTATAATCATCACAATACCTATGTACATCTTTAGAGCCAAATACCAATTTGGCTGATAAGATAGTGAGCATCATTGATGACTATTGTTGTCATACGGTGCAGTGTCTTCTTTCGTTTTCTAGAATCATTTTCAATTAGCCACTTTGCAGAATGCGATTCTTAATTCTTCTATTGTTCGCGACTTCACAAATATGCGGAGCTCGCTATTATTCATTGTCAGAGACATTCCAGTCAGTATTGGATACTGAAAAAGCGCTGGAAGAAGAGCTCAAAATCAATTTTCAACATGCTGTGTTAGTGTTTAAAACATGGGATCATTTTATTGAATTTGTAGATTTAATTTTAGAGAGGAAGACCAAAAAGCTAAGGAAGAATCATCGAAGAAACTTCGCGAAACTATGGAGAAGCTTAACGAGGTAGTAAAACAGAAGCTTGAAGAATATAAAGAGAAGAAGGAAGTAAGTATTATTTTAATTTTAATTTTCTTTAAATTAATAATCGAAGGCTGAAAATGCTGAAAATGAAGCCAAAAGGAACCAAGCACTTCAGAAATGGAAAGAAGTTTCGGATCAATTTAAGCAGGTTTGCGTCACTGAATTGAAATTTCAGCATTAATTTTTTACAGGCTGCTGCTGAACTTAAAGAGAAGCAAGCTGCTAAGGAGGAGCAGAGAAACAAGGTTTTTGAAATATTCCTGAAAATATTTGATTCACTTGCAATAAATCTAGGAAATTAAAGAATTGGTTGAACAATTGAAAGCAGTATATGAAAAGAAAGAAGAGCAGGATCGAATTGAGAAAGAGGAAAAACTGAAGGTTTTACTATTTTTTGCACTATGGTTTATAAATTGTCCATTATAGAAGTGGCAAGAAGCATCTGAAAAGCTGAAGCAGCAGATCAATCAGATTAAGCAGAAACGTGCCGACGATAAAAAGAAGAATGACGAGCAGCAAAAAGAGGTAAATTGTTTGTTTAACACCCTCATTCAATTTAAAATGATTTTCAGAAGCTGGAAGCGTTCAAGCAAGATTTGTCAAATTTAAAGAATTTGATTGTAAACGAAGTGAAAAATAGATTGGAGAAAAAGAAAGAAAGAGAGGCGGCTCAGAACCAGCATATTGAAGAGCTGAAAAATCAAATTAATGTGATCATTGAAGTTTAAGATTTGGCATTGACGATCAATATTTAGGAAGAGAAGAAAAAACTGGACGAGCTTAAAAAAAATGCTGGAAATGACTATAAGGAATATACTGATCAGAAAGACGTTGTCGACGGACTCATTCAAGATTTGATGAAACAGAATTTGAAGGATAAAATCAGCAATCAAATTTCGGACCAACTGCAGAGGGAGCTTGATAGAGCTGCTCTCAAAGAGGTTTTAAATGAGAATAAGGGAACACCGGAGAATGGAGAAGCAGTTGAAAAGGCGGAAAAGGCCACGATTCTTGATGAAATCCCTGGAAAATCAACATGGGAAACAATCACATGGATCCTTTTGGCTCTTTCTATCCTTCTTTCAGTGGCTCTCATTATGATGATCATCTATCAGGTAAGTTAACATGTTTTTTTTTTTATCAACAAATTTTCCGAATCGCCAGATTCGCCAGAGAAACCATTACCAAAAACTGGATGGCCGTGACATCGAGACCCAGCAATCGGAGAGACAGCCTCTGATCCCACCAGCGACTCCAAGTACTGCTCCACCACTTGCTCCAGCCAAGGAAGAACAGCAGTTCTAATTTCATCATAAATATGCGTTATATGTCACGAGCTGATATTATAATGTTTGTGACTTGTATTTTATGCTTATGCGATAAGAGTTGTGTCTGTTTCGTAGGCTCACAAGGCACAATTAGAACACGAGTTCGGGTGGCGGCAATCAGTTGTGATTGGATTAGGGTAGTGATGATTGAGCAATGCACTCAATTATAGGATATGATTAACACATAGAAATTATTTGTTGAATTTTTTTTTTGTAGTGGCTGAAAAATTGTGAAATATAAAAAACAAAACATTTTTATTCAGAAACTTTTAAAATTTTAAATATGCTTCTTAAATGAAACAAACTGAACTTGACTTTTGCGTTAACATAGGATTTCCGGATTGCTTACTCTAACTGGGATATCATTTTTTTGAGTCAAGCATTCCGAATTCGACTTTATGCGATTCCTCACACTCATTTGATATGTGATTTCTACACAATTCAAACCTGAGAATGTATTTAACATCCAATTCCAATTTGTTTGCATAACTAGGCATGAGTTCTGACCTTTCTCGATGCGATGTTCGTGTTTAATTGCTTAAGTGTTACGCTATGCCATTTCAACAAATACTAAAAACCAAATGTCCGTGAGTTCTTGATAAAACCGATTTCGCGGTAATTCTGGCAATGTTCAAAAACCTTGTCTCAACTAAACACGCACGGAAGCATTTTTTTCGATCGTTAAACAAATATTTGAAGAAATCTCGTTATCAATTTTCTTTGCGTCCTCCACTGACCCCCCGACGGAATTGCATTTTTTTTTCAGACGAAACAAAAAAGGAATTTGGTGGGGGGGGTTGATTTCTCGATCAACAAAAAATCTGTAGCAAATAACCTTGAGTGAAAATGGCGAGATAGATTGAATCTTGAATGTTTTGTACCAAAATTTTTTGATAACCAAAGATTTGAAGTTACACAGGTGGAGAATCTTATTCAAATGAATCAATCGTTGTCAATCACATCTGAAACGAATGAAGCGTTTTTGGCCTCTGGCGTTCTTCCAGAACACTTAGAAACCCATTCTTCTTTTGAATATTTTTTTTATCTGCCTGCATTCCGCGCATTCAAATCGTCAATTCGGAAGCGCAGTGTAACAACCAATTCTTTTGAATAATGCGAGGAACTTACACAATACCGAATCTATGTAAATTTGTACTCTAGCTTCATTCTTTTGCGTTCTTACAAGCCCGACTGCGAAACATGACAATAGCGTCCAAAAAACATTTGACATGTCCAAATTTTACGCATAAGAAAGCAACATCAACAAAAATCAGAATTTAGTACATTCAAAAACTGCAGTTCAAGATGACCTTAGCATAATCTGATGGCATACCGATAAACATTGTTTCGTCTTTCTTCTTACTGTGAAAGGAATGTCGGTGCGACTAGTGTGGAATTATCTTAGTGCACTTTTTCGGCCTAGAGTGTAAGTTCAAAATTGTAAATAATAATGAGAAATGGATTGATTCGATATGGATTTAGTGACCGTCTTGCAATTGCAGTACAAGAATCGATTTATTATATTATAGCCGTTGCGGGATTTCTTTTATAGCCGTTGCGGGATTTCTTTGGTCCCATTAAAATGCTTATTTCGATATCGTTATGTAAAATGTGGTTTTTGAAAAATATAGGCATTTTCTGGAATTACAGACATCATTGAAATCAAAATTTAGAGCTCGAGAATGCGAAATTATCAGTTTTTCCGCTCGAGACCACAGCGATAAACGCATAAACCTAAACCTATCAATTCCAGTCACCGAAAAATTATAGTATTTGGGAATTCTGATTTGAAGGCGACCTGAAAAACTATTTTGATTGATGACTAAGTGATGAATAATATATGTAGCTTTCTATCTGATTGGGTACTTTATCAAATTAGATGTGATTTATTTAGGCAGTTTTCTGAGACATGTTATCCATATGACTATTTAAAGAAAGAATTATTTTTTTTGCATAAACCTGAAACTTCATCATCTTCTTTTTTTCTTTTTTAACCGATGATGATTAATGTCAGCTTACTTCAAACTGACCTCATCTTTACAATGAATAGCTAGATGTTCACTGTTCATCTAATTTTTATTGAAATTGTTCGGTTAAGGGTCGTTTGACGTAGGTATGCATTTCAATACGCAGTGACATTGCAATTCTAAGATATTGATAACTTCATCAGATCTCGGTGGTATGAATGAGGGCTATTGATAAGTTTCAAAATCTCAGATGTGATGATCGTTTGATTCCAATGTTCGCCATTTCTGGAAGTCAGCTGTTCACAATGTCTCCCATCAAGGAAACCCATCCAAATGATACGACAGATTTGATAACAAATATCAGCCCGAATCGCCTAAAAAACGCACCCCCCCCCTCACGTAACATGTCGTTGCAGTACGGTTTTTTCTTCATTCGTCCAACCCGCTATAATGCCATTCATTCGATTGCGGTGATAATTAGAATTGGTGAGGGGAAGGGTAGAGCGGTGAGAGGGGGGGGGGCATCTTGTACACTGGCATAAGAAAAAAGATACCGACGAACAACAAAAAAACTGTGTAAGAAACGGGCTTGAGGCAAAAAGGAAATAGTGCTGCGCTAAAATTCGACCTTTTTTTTCTCCTCCCTTCCTCCCTCGTCTTTGGCATTTTTTTTGGCGACAGTGTACATCTATATGATTAATGGTTTTATACTTTTTTCGGGTTATATTACACATGAAGGGATAATGAGTGGGTGCCGAGGTGTCTGCGGCTTCATTGTTTCAAAAGAATTGTCATAAAAGGTCTAAAGTGCGCATTGTTTCCGGCACATTACCTGAAAGGAATTGGTTGGTGTTAGTGGTTCATCAAAAACGAAATTTCGGAATGGACGACGCCGCTGGATGTTCTCCAGCGATTTCCCTTTTTAAATTGATTGTGTGAAAGTAGAACAACTGCATACGTAATGCATCAAGAATCATCAAAGAAAAACCCATCACCTCCTAGTTAATGAAAAATTATAATTAGATTCCACGGTCTCAAGGTTGAATCAAAAATCACTTTCAGTGTCTACAACAATTCATTGGAAAATGTTGGTTGCAATTACAGGGTGTCATTTAAGTTCCCGCACAAAAGTTTGACGCCATGAAGAGCTTGGCTGTCGCACTTTTCGTGCACCAATACAATTTATTTTTGTTAAATAAGGTATATTTTACTTACTTTCCAAGTTTCACCTCATTCGGATGTGTTTCCGAGAAATGGCGAAGGCTAACATCCATTGCGCTTCCATTATCGAACTTCATAAGCAAAATGTGAGCTCGAGAGACATCATTCAACGGGTCGGTGTGCCTCGTAGAACGGTTTGCGACACCATCAAACGTTTCAAGGAGCTAAATACGACCAGTCACCGTCCCAGACAAGGAAGACTCGTATCAGTAACCACTCCTCAGAAGATCAACGCCGTCAAATCGAGGATCAGGCGAAACCCCCACAGGAGCATGAGAAAGATGGCGTTAGACATGGGAATGAGCATCTTCGCTATGGAACAAATTGTCAAAACGAAGCTTGGACTGACCCCATATCGTGTCCAAAAAGCGGCAATTCTATCGGCCGTCAGCAAGCAGAGACGCTTCGAAAAAGCAAAACGACTTCTTGCTCGCACGCGGTCTGGACAACACCTCGTCACTGTCTTCTCCGACGAGAAGCTGTTCACTGTGGAGACGGCATTCAACTCACAAAACCATTGAGTACTTGCCCAGACATCCCAGCAAGCTTCTGAGAAAAGAAGAACATATCATCCAGCCTCACATCCTGCCAGCATGATGGTTTTCGTTGCCATCTGCTCAACCGGGAAGTGCCCCCTGGTTTTCGCGGATCAGGGGGTGAAAGTGAACAAAGAAGTCTACGTTCGGGACATTTTGGAGAAGCATGTGATGCCCTGGACCCAAACGCATTTCGGTGGGCAGAAATGGGTCTTTCAACATGACGGAGCAGCCGCCCACACTGCCAAAACTACTCAGGAGTGGTGCCAGACCCATTTTCCCGACTTCATCAAGTCATCCGAATGGCCTGATTGCTCCCCAGACCTGAACCCGCTTGACTTTCCCGTGATGGGGTCTTGCAGGAGAAGGTCAACGCAAAACCCCATTCAAGTGTAGAGGCTCTGAAGAAGACATTACTGGCGGAATGGGACAATCTTTCCATCGAATACCTGCGTACCACAGTCGCATCCTACCCGAAGCGTTTCCGTGAAGTCATAGCTGCGAAAGGAGGCCGAATCAAAAAGAGTTAATAGATAAATATTTGTTATACTATAGATAAAAAATATTTTGAGTCTCGTTTGATTTGGACTTTTAGTTTCAGAAATATACGTCTTCAAAGTTGTGCGGGAACTTAAATGACACCCTGTAACGATCTGATCATGATTCTGTAATCCATATATGTGGATTTAAATGATAACGAAAACCGAAAAATGTTCTTCCACCCGAACCATTCCCTTTATCTAGAATACACACCTCTCCAAATAAGGGATTTAAACGCCACTGGTTGGAATGTTGCTTTCAAGGGGGGGGGGCGGATTTGCCAAAAATTTCTGCGATGCAAAAAAAAACAGTAAAATAACAACTAATCCCTAATCGAATCATGACCGGCCTCCATTCTCTCAAAGCTTTTCGGCATGAATTCGGGTGCTTTGAACGTCGCAATGAAAGTGTGAGAAAATACCGGCGTCGGTGTCGCTATGCATAATAATAGATTTGCTTTCGGTTCATAATTGTTTCACAATGTCATCTTGAAATCGATGGCAAATCGGTCGTCTAGACAGAAGCGCCAAAAAATATGGGCGAGACAATGGCTTGTCCTTTCTTTGCCTCTCATCAAGTGCCATATTTTCCGGCGCGAGACGATAACCGAAAAAGGAGAAAATCCGCCGAAAGGAAATAAGCGAAAATGGTTTCGTTTCATTTCGCGGATTTACCGGATGGTGGCCTGCAACAAATACACGCATGGGTATACAACAATTGAATTGTATGACTAGGCAGCAGGATTCTTGTCTCTGTATTTTTGAGCGTGATTTTCTTTCTTTGTTTCATCTTGACTTTCAAATAATCGAAACTCGAAAATTTGAATCAGGAACTTGAATTATACTTCCGCTCGCTTAAAATTAATTATTTTTCGAACTAATCGAAAACGAAAGTGAAGTTTTTTCGCAAGTTCGTTGACTTTCAATAATTTACCCGATGTTATCAAACGACTGAGCTGTTCCTTATTTGTGGGTGGGGTGATGGGTACCATTACAAGCAACACCTATCGGAGACCCATCACGACCTTGGCATGCCGATCTCACGTCGGGCCTTGGTATTTCCTCAGGCGATCGCCTGCGCCTTCATGTATGCTTGAACTATTGCGACGTCTCTCGTCTTTGCCAAATTGCCCGCCTACCTTTAGTATAAAAGGCGGCCACAGAGGGCAGAAAAGCAGGTGAGCGATCACATCAAAACGACTACGGTAAGCTAGCTTTGCTTATTTTGATTTCCTAATCTGATTGTGTCTCACTTTTGGAAAGCATTCGTTTTCAATTTGAATTCAACATTCATTCTTTTCTTATTTCAGATGGTTGACGAGAAGCAGCTCGAGCTTGAAGCTCACTCCCTTCGCCGTGTGGCCTTCTTCGGAGTCGCCATCTCCACCGTCGCCACCTTGGTGTGCGTCTTGTCTGTGCCAATGCTCTACAACTACATGCAGCACATGCAATCCGTTATGCAATCCGAGGTCGACTTCTGCCGCTCCCGATCTGGAAACATCTGGAGAGAGGTGACCCGCACCCAAGTTCTCGCTAAGGTCTCTGGAGGAGCTATCCGTTCCCGCCGTCAAGCCGGATACGAAAGCCTCGGAGTTGAGGGATCCCACTCGTCTGCTGGAGGATGCTGCGGATGCGGAGTCTCCGCTCAGGGACCACCAGGACCACCAGGACCAGACGGAGAGGATGGAGCCGATGGACAGCCAGGAGCCCCAGGAAACGATGGACCAGACGGACCAGCCGCCACTCCAGCCCCACACCACGAATTCTGCTTCGATTGCCCAGCTGGACCAGCCGGACCAGCCGGACCAGCCGGACCAAAGGGACCAAACGGAAACCCAGGATCCGATGGACAGCCAGGAGCCCCAGGAAACGCCGGAGCCCCAGGAGCCCCAGGAGCCCCAGGACAGCCAGGAGCCGACGGACACCCAGGAAACCCAGGAGCCCCAGGAGCCCCAGGACAAGTTCGCGATGTTCCAGCTCCAGCCGGACCACCAGGTAAATATAGTCTTTTTATGACTTCAACCCATTTATTATATTTCAGGACCACCAGGACCAGACGGACCAGCCGGACCAGCCGGATCCCCAGGAGCCCCAGGAAACCCAGGAGCCCAAGGACCACAAGGACCAGCTGGAGACAACGGAGCCCCAGGAGCCCCAGGACAGCCAGGAAAGAACGGAGACAATGGAGCCGATGGAGAGACCGGAGCCCCAGGAGGTTGCGACCACTGCCCACCACCAAGAACCGCTCCAGGATATTAATTTCCCTGACATCTCTAATGTATCTCTCATTTCTCATCGCGAGCCAATCTTGTACGGTTGTATACAAAAAATAAAAATCAACTTGAATCTTATTTTCCAAATGCATTTCAAACAAATTTCGAGAAGAAATCGAAAAAAAAGGTATTGAAGACTTTCGCGACCGCAAATAAAATAGTTCAAGACGGCCGACCTCTGCATTTCAAGTGCTTAAGAATCGAAATTCATTGAATACATTCCCGAGAAGTTCTCAAAAATGAATCAGAATTACGACCCGAAAAAATTAGGGAAGTGTGACACAATTGAATTCAACCTGTTTTGCGTCTCGCTTCGGTACCTTTTCTGGCATATCTTCCATGTTTGCATTTTAACGTAATGACGCGTATATCAGAAAATTGCATTTTGCTAAGGAACCTACCCCCCTCCCCCTTGAATGTTTATGAAACTTTTTTCCTTTCCCCAGTTCCAAATTACTGAATGCAGACCTACGGTATTGAAGAAATGCAATTTCGACAGTATCCCCCTCTATTTTGGGCGTAGCACTCTTTGAAAGAAGATAGATATCAACATTTGACCTTGCATTTTTCACCGTCGTAAACATAGTTAAGCTAAGCGATGATGGAAGATGGGTTGACATTTCCTCTTCAAGGGACTTATCCAATTAGTTTGCTTCCTTTGGCATACCACTAGTGAGAAAGTGATTGGTTCAATTTCGAAGGTTCGCGGGGGTAAGCCAAGTATGCGACAGATTGCTTGCGTTCCTTTCAAATGCAAGTGAAAGTGGCTAGTAAACAAATTGCAAGATCAAATGTCTCAATATGCAAATTTCGCTTGGTTCGATGTTCGTCTTGGAAGCGAGGGAGTCTTCAATTCGGCTCGTTTTATCGTCGCAATCGTCGTCGAATTATTGTGCTAATTAATTATTCGACACGCAACATTATTCCGGTCGTTTATTTTTTCGCAACGCCAAAATCGCGAATTGATGCTAATCATGGCCAGGTTTTAGGCAGATCATCTCCTCGTGTTTCATGATGGTATGTCAAGATTGTCAAAAACCAGAGCCTCATTATTCAATTTCGATTGGCAAAAAATTTACGTTCAACATGGCATCACTGCTTCTTCTTCGTCTTCTGTATCTTCGCCCAACTTTAATAACATTAGGAATTGCGTCATTCATATTGAATAGGACGGACAAACTGGATAGTAAAGGATAATAGAATACAAAAACGAAATCATCTTGATAAATGTTCGAAAATCCAATAATATTATAATAAGTTGTGCTATTACGAGATATCACACATTGAATGACAAATGTTATTGGCCGGAGAAAAACAGGATGGATGAAATGTAAAGGTAAAAGCAATCCGATTGAACATTGCCAAGAAAAAAAAACAGCATGGGAATTTTTTGCGATAGTGAATCGGTTTGCGGATATGGGGTTCTCACCAAATGCAAACTGTTGTTCCGAACACATTTCACATAATGAATTAGCAGATTCGGATGGTTTGCAATGTAAGCCAAGTGTCTAGGGAATATATGGGAGATTAATGGAAATCAAAGCTGCAGGGATGAATCTTAGCTTGGATAAAGAAATGCTAACAAATGAAGGAGACCTAATAAATTATGGACTTGATGGTAGGCACAATGGTAGCTTCCTAGACCATTTCCCCGGCGAAATACATACTAAAACGTTGTCAGAGCTTAATTTATATTTCGGCGATGGACAGTAGAACACAATTTTCTCTCCAACCGAGTAATAATCTTTGGCAATTGTTGTAGTTGCTCCATTGTCCGGCCTGCCTGGATGTCTACAATACCCATCGCCTAAAAATTTGCAATCGATTTCCTTTTATTTTAGCAAATTTTGTACACTTGGTCTTGATCTCGCTCCACCTTCCGTCGGCTTGACACACGCTAAAATCGCCGCCGGTTAGCATATAGTTGGTGAAACAGCTAAACAGCACGATATCGCCTTTTGTATATCTCTCTCGAGGCTCTCCAATTATATGCCCATTTTCCGGCGGTAGAATTTTCGGGCAATTGACAACTATAAATCACATTTGCAGAAACAAAGTAAGGTCATCGCCTGCAAGATTCTCACCATTACACCTTGGCACTTCATGACTCCACGTTCCTTGACTAGTGCAATGAAGGTTCGCCTCGCCAACGAGAGTGTAACTGAAAAAAAATAAAAATTTAAAAACCACAATGAAAAATTGTATGAAGGTACCCTTTGCGGCATTTGAAATGCGCGACACCTCCAACTCTATATGATGTGACAGACACCGACATTCTTGAACCATTCACGAATAATACAGGGCAGAGTGACGCTAAAATTGGCTCATACATTTTTTTTTCATAAAATCTAATCATATATGTACCGCGACATTTTGGCACTGGATGGCTCCATGAGGCATCTTCTAAGCACGTCGAGACTGCATTGCCTTCAACGGTATACCCAGTAGAGCACGAAAATTGGGCCACGGTTCCAACAAATAATGAAGTTGTTGAAAGATGGACATGAAGATTTGTTGAGCTTCCAGGGAATTCGCAACGATTTTCTAAAATTTTTCAATAATTTTTTTGAATTCTTTTCTGCAATTTTACCAGTAACGAGTATTTTAAAAGTATTTCTTGCTCCATTTGGAAGCACACAATGGAGTAATCCGCTGTCGAAAGGTTGAGCACTAGCAATGCTTATTTCGAATCCATCAATGTCGTCGTGATCGCGAGTTTTTGCCTTTGTCCACTGTGTTGGATATGAGCGATAGGTTGATGTGACTTTCTAAGCAAACATTTTCGCTCGACCTGATCAAAGTATACACAATCCATACCCACATTGGATCATTGGCAGTTTTCTCAGTTAGACAAGTAAGAAGAACATTAGAAGCTCTTGAGACCACTAGGTCTCCTTTTGGGGATATTGCATGAGTTCCATGAGTCACTGAATATTTGATGGGAACCGACGTCGCTGCATTATTTTTGTTTTTGTTTTTGGTTTACAGTGTTTCAAAACCTGAAGCGTGAATCGGTATACAATACGGAATCGTTCCACTCCATTTTCCATTATGGCAAGTCAATTCCGGCTTGCCTTGTAAGCGTTCAGTACCGATGTTGACACATCGAAATTGTAGTTTGTCGCCGTCTTAAAAGAATTAATTAGATATTGGAGGGGGCAAAAAACAATTAATGCAAACTTTCAAAGTGTTGATTGAATAAAACTGTTTCCTTCCGTTTTGTGTCAAATATCACAATATGGGAATTGATATTCATTTGGAGTTCACAAGTTGTCTCGATTTTGGAGCAATTCAATCTTTTCTTAACTCCCCATCTGCCACGTCGGCATTTGATTGCGACGCTTTCTTCAATATGAGTTGAAGTCAAACATCCAACCTGGAAAAAATATATTTCAGATTTTTATTTTACTAAATCCACCAAAAAAAAACATACATGAAGAATTGTCCCATGTGGAAATCTATGATTCTCATCGGCTATGTAATTATCAATATTAAAAATCTTCTGGTTCGGCTCTAACTCAAGCGGCGAGCACATCTCATCGTTATGCGGTATTTTCCACGTGGATATATTTCCGAGAATACAGGGCAACAAGTTGCTCACCCATTCACCATTAATGCACTCCATTCCGCCAGCTTCTTCTCGATCGTTGCACTAAAAAAACCAAGAAGAATTTGGGAAGAATTTTAGCTGAAATTCGTACCTTGAATTGAAAAACTGTTCCATTTGGGTATGCTGATTGATAGCTATCAATAATAACCTTCTTCAGACCTTGGTACCGATAGATCAATGCTGATGTCGAATCTTGTGGAGCCACACAGAACCTGAAAATTATAATGTCACAGTGGATTTCTAGAGCACCAACTTTCTATCCTCTGGTTTAACATAGCATGATGGATTCGGAGAAAGATTTCCCTGCGAGCATGAAATTGTGATATTCGATTCCGAGCATATCAGCTCAATCGATTCGCCATTCTTAATTGTGTTATTCGTTGTGCTGTACTTTCCAACGATTATTTCCGGCAGAATGCATTCCTCTGAAACATTTTGCTTTCAATTTGTCGAATGTACATATGTCCTTACGTGGAGTGCAATGACCAAGCGTTTCCTTGATAACACCCTTCGAGCATTCAAGAATACCATTGCCTGTAATTTTGAACTTTAGTTCGATTAGTTCTAGAATCTTCATAAGCTTTTGATTTGTCAATATGTACAAACCTCAAACAAACCAATCAAAAAATTGCTTTTTGCTCACTATTATTTTAACACCCTTCCCGTATACTTTTTATACCTTCTTTTACTTTTTTTTCGGCGAACAAACTTGAAATTGGGTGACAAAAAGTGTCAAGTTGGGTGTTTGTTTAATTGGCAATATTGCGCTGATTGGCAAACACTATGTAGTATATAAGAGCATGAGCTTGAATTGTTGGCATCATCAGCCTCTCATCAACTCAAACAACATGAACGCAAAACTGTGAGTTTCATCAGCTCTTACAACACTATCAAAATTTCAAATTTCAGCGTTGCCTTAGTTGCTCTCCTCATCGCTTGCGCCTTCATCTCCGAGGCAAATGCTCAATACTATGGTGGATACGGATTGTATGGAGGATACGGATATGGCGCCTATGGATACCCATCATACTATGGAGGATATGGATACCCATACGGCTACGGATACGGATACTACGGAAAGAGAGAAGCTGGCTTCGCACCAACCAAGAATTAACTCCATTGATTATCTTGCTTTTAAAAAATGTAAAATCCAAAAAAAAAAGAATAAAGCATTAAAAAAAATTTGTTTTCCAATTTACTCAATGTATACCATTAAGATGATATCCTCGAAGGCATGCCATCTGAGCAATCGTGCCATCTTCCACAACATCATTGGATTGAAGAATTTGCGAAGTTCCCGCTTTTAAAAAGAACACATGTAAACGGATTGGTACCCGGCAAGACTCTTCAAATCGATATAATAATTGTTAATAATCAAAATAGGGTTTCCCTACTTGGTATACATTCGGCGATTTCTGGAACCCAACGCCCATTAATACATTTTGATTTACCGTCAATCACCTCGCTAGCAAACTCGTAACCTTCCCTGCAAATCACCTGAACAACCTTTGTGCTTGAATTTCTAAATATGTTGAAATCAGTGAATGAGAAATGATATTTGGTATTTAAGCATTAGTTCTATAAAAATAACCAACCGTTATTCCATTTTCCGAATGTCTCATCAAAAGACGCTCTGGTTTATCAAACACGGTGGCGCAATTCCCAATAGTTGAGCGATAGTTGTTCGTGTCGGCTGAAAGCGTTTCACATTAATTGTTCCCATGAGCATTTCCAATTTTTTTCTTCGCCAACAAATTGGAATTGTTTATTCCTTCGTTCATACTCGTTTATTTTTTTTTCAAAAATTGTTTATGCTCATTCTCGCTGGAACACTTCTACACTGCGCAATCTTGTTTGTTTTGTATACCAAAAAAGAGCCAAACTTTCACAAATTCGGCAGAAGCCACAAGCTAAACTTCTTATCGCAATTTAAATTTTTTTGGTGAACTGCACTTTGCTGTCAATCTCACATTTCAATACGTCTTAAGAAGGGCTTTTTTTGGTAAAACAATTTTTCTGCTCTTTGATTTTTCTATTGTTTAGTTAAACTATTTATTCCCATAAAATACAAGTGTTCCAGATAGGGAGAGGGCCACCCATAAACATCCGTTCGTCCTTCGCTCATCGCGCGGCGGTCAAAAAATTTTTAATTGTTCACCTTCATCGACGTTACGCTTCTTTCGGCGATCCCATAAAATTTTGCCTTCAATCATTGGGTGCGTCTGCGAAACGCATTTTGGTGAAAGTTTTGGCATCCATTCGCCATTCACACATGTTGCTTTTGGAGCGCCTTCAATCATGTCATTTTTTTTCTTCTTCTTTTTTTCAATCAAAAAAATGTTCGCTGAACCTACCAATTAAATAGTTGCCTTTGCTGCATTGAAAACTAATCGCCCTTCCTTCCTCGACTTTTTGAATATAACTTTGAAACTCATAGGCTCCCAAAATACCCTCTAAAAGAATTTGACCGCCCGGGAAGCTTCCATAAGTTTTGCTGGGATGCTCGCACCAACCTAAATAAAGATTTTCTTTTTAGTTAAAGAAATTCGTTTACTTGGCAGGCATTTTAACAGTGGTCCCTCTCTTATCCATTCTCCATACAAACACTTTATAATTTGATTATGCTGATTTGGATGATAGCCATTCATGCATTCATACTTTGCTATTGAACCGTGCGAAGACTTTGAGAACAAAATACGTGCATGGGCCACCCTTGGTGGCCAGCTATGGCAGCTCACTTAAACTAGCAATATTATAGAACGTATAACTAAATTTGATTACATGGACTGCAGACTGGTACATGGGACCACGTCGAGTTGTTGCATATGAGTTTCTCATCAATGTTAGCCTCGTGTTGTTTGTTGCACTCAACATACACTTTTGCCCCTAAAATTTTGTCTATATTTATAGTCGAATCCCTTAAAATTGTACCGGAAGCTATCAACTGACCAACAGATTTATCTCGAATTCTTCCATTTGGTATTTTTGGAACTCGGCAGGATGCTAAAAATTTAATTTTCGAAGGATTTTTATCGCGAGAATTTCTAAAAATACCTAAACATTTAGGCATTGGTGCGCTCCATTGTCCATCTTCCATACATTTTGCCTTTGAGGCTCCTTCATGCGTCATTGTTTCAAGACATCTATTTTAAACAATGATTCAACATTTATCCCGATTTAATAAATTCACCTAAATATTGCTACTGCCCCAAATCCTGTTTCACTACCTTCAATATATCCATTTGGTAAAGATGGAAATGCGGGGCATCGAATTTCTGTGGAATCTCTGATAATCTATATGACGGGCTAGTTTTGAAAAAACCTTCACAAGTTGGTTCATTGCCTCCCCAAATTCCTTCAGCCAAACAAATGCGCTGCATTTGTCCAGCCAATCGATAACCATGGTCACATGAGTAGGAGACGATTGATTGGTACGTTAAAGAACTGCCAACGACTTTGCCATGAATTGGAGATTGTGGACGAGGGCATTCGCTGGCTATAAACAAGAATTAAACGTATACATTAATATGTATTAAGAAGAAATTATTACGTTTGCAAACGGCTGCTTCATTTGTCCATTCGCCATTACTAGAGCATTGTCTTGTCGCGGAGCCAACTAGCAAAAATCCAGGATTGCACGAGAATTTCACATAGTGCGGGTATTCAAATACGTCCCCTTCACGCTCGCCATTCTCAATAACACCTGGATCTGGGCAAGCGCGAGCGCGACAACGAAGATCCGGCCCAAACCATTGCGCCACATTTTTTCGATTAAGCAAGCATTTTGAAATTGAGAGACCCTAAAAAAATTTCACGTTTATTTTCATACAATCTCACTTTTATTTCTCACCTTTGCATTAAATTTATGATATCCTGGAATACAATTGTAAGTCACTTCGGCATCCAAATCATATTCTCCTGAAAACGATGAGCCATCGTGCACGGCAAACGGAATTTCCGGCGGTGGTCCACATTTCACTGAAAAATACGAAAAAATCGCCAAAAAAATTCTTCATCTCATCGATGATACATTGCAGTCGACAAACTGGCTGCGATGAGCTCCATTCCCTATTTCCCTGGCATCTTCTTTGACTAGCACCGACCAATATGAAACCTTTGTTGCAACCATACTCGGCGTTTGACCCAAATCTCAGCTCTCCGGCTGTGCGAATAAATCCATTTTCAATATTTGGTAATGGATGACACATAGCAGCTAAGTTACAATTATTGAATATATTAATGGGTAAATGAGATATACCAGGATTGACACAGCTTAGTCCGCATTCTCCATCGCACATGCATCGTTTGTGCTTCTTACAATCATCATCAGAAACACATTCCTTTTTGCAATGCTTCGGACGTTGTGATGAGATGACTTCAGGGCACGATAGTGCGCAAGATAAGGGAATAATGCATGAAATAAGAATGATAAATATTGCTGAATTCCGAAGCAATCTCATGAAAAAATAGGCGTCGAGCAAGAATAGTGAGAGAGTGAGCATCGTTGCAAGAAGCTTTTCACCAGCTGACACTTGTGGTATTGATTGATTGATTGGTTCAAGTCCCATGGGTTCTCATCAATCGTAGTGAACAGGCAAGCATTCATCTGGAAGAAGACGAAGAAAAAAAATTGAGAATAAGGGTATCCTTACTTTAAACACAGACAATTTTTGGTTGGATGCTCCTATTGGTTTATACACGAATGAATTGATTCCTCATATGCCTTTTGTTGAAATGACTTTGTTTCTTGTTAGTGTGAATATTAATAATAAGCAAAATAGTTTTTTATTACTCAATGGTGTAATTCAAAACTTTGGCCCAACTTTTATTTATTTTATATCTAAATAATATTGAATACCATGTGTAAAATCATTTACTACTCACCGAATATTCACATTAATTGAAAGATTTTAGATTACTATTGCCGAAAAGTTAAATTTTTTTAGTCCAAATGAAATTTCGGCTTTTTTTACCTCGAAACCCTAACAATTTTTGCATGTGCCTTTAATGTGTACTAAAATTTTAATTAAGTTTAATATTTAGCCAAAGCGCAAATTACTATTTAGGGAAAATTTTTCGGCCGGTCCCCGCCTGCCTTTGTCAAAACGTTTCCTATATAGCGATCATTTCTCCCTGAGCATACCGTATTTCTTTCCCATGTCTTCAGAATGCCCACTGATCCTACTATAAATCAGTAACCGTGCAAAAAAAATGAGAGATATGGTGGTTAATACTCTACCGTGTTTGGCAAACGTCGCTGGGCTTAAAGAAGGGATCAGAACCCAAAAAAGAGCCGCCACTCCATTTTTCATAAGCCCGCAGTTAAAAAAAACGATAAGGATTGAAAAAAGGGTTTGCCTTTTGCGAGCAGTACTCATTTCCCATTCACCTCAGTATTTCGAACACCGGAAAAAAACCAGTATAACTTATTTCTGCGCGTCATAAAATGCCAACATTATCTACTATCTTCTTGCCATGTTATAGAAGCGGTAAGTCTTTAATGATTAGTATTATTAAAAAAAAAATATCACACCTCAGCGATTGGGACTACATGGATAATAAGATATAAAATTAATAATTATAATGAGGTTTTGGTTTATTCAGAGAATATAATAAAAATAAATTGAATAACATTTTTTTGAATTTCCCGAAAACAACGTCACTATTTTCATACCTACGCAATTTCTCGTTTCCATATCTATATATATAGGCAGCTATTCCAAGGTAGATTCAAAATCATGTGATTTTCTTTATACTATTGTCCCGTGGAATGCTCATCGACAAGCAGTTTTTAAACACCCTCTTATCCAAATGATTTTGATAACTTTTGAATATCATCTAGGATTTCTTTATTTTTGTTTTTAGAAACATCAAATCCTTAAGTAGAAACTATACAATATTTTAAACGAAATTAGCATGGAAGTATTCTTTGAGTGATTTCAGATATTTTCGAAAATAATATCCGCGAAATTTAATAATTAATACTAAGCTTAGTTCGTTAAAATTATTTTACAGCTGTAATTTCAATTTGAAAAAGTTCGAAAACTAAGAAATTTCAAAATCGTATTCCACTTCGCCGCGTAAGGTTAAATGACAACAATTTTGTTTGCTTAGGTAACGATATGAATCAATACGTTTGTTTTACTTCTTTTTCAAAAGTATTCGTGTTCTCTCTTATCCTGAAAGACAAATTTAGACTACTTACAGTTCTTCATTATTCAGAAACGCCTTCCATAACGGGTTTTTAAAATTTTATTTATCACTTTTGTTGAAATCAAAATAAAAATTAGAAGATTCAGAAGAATATTCGAGAAGAATACAACCGTTTAACTACTTTTTTTTCAATGAAATCAAGTGATATCACAATGCGATTTAAATTAAGTTTCCTTCAATCAACTTTACTTGTTGCAATCATGAAAAGATTTTATAAACACACTTTGGAAAAGACTAACTAAAAATTTGTTAGAAATCCGCTCAAAAGTTATATTTTCTGCAATTGAACAATGATTTTCTAAGGTTTTGACGATTTTTTTAAAATTAAACAAAAAGTTATTATCTTGCTTAATGGCATTTTTTAAGCAGCTTGAAACCACATCCTTGGGGTAAAATGCGAAAATCGATTTTTTTCAATAAATTGGATTAGTTAATTTTTTATGAATGAAATTTCTATTTCCTTATTTATTCCTTAAGCTACCCTATTAAATCACATTATTTTTTTTAAATATTCTAAATATAGATATCATTTCTATTTAAAATTTATCTTGAGCGTTGGATGTTGCAACCGCGCTCAAGTGAACATTTAATGGAGGGCTTTTAAATTTACTCATTTTTTTGCCTTTTTTTCGTTTACTTCTCCTGCGTTTACATATTTTATAAAAAGAAACAATTAAATTGTAATTAAAACATAAATATCATTTTGGATGGAGGACCTCGGTCCCGCTGAGCTTGAGGATTTATTAGCCTATCGCGACTATCTAGAGCAATACTATGTGAACGGAATTGAAGAACAATGCTTGTCTCAAATCGTGCTGGGAGCTTTCAATTCGCTCAAGCCAATTTTGCTCGCGACCGTCGGCACCAAGATTGTTATGAAAATGAGTAAGTGATTCGAAATTTGAAAAAAATGAAAGGAAAATTGCAGAACTGCCAAAATGGTTGACAGTATTACTCCATATGATGCTGTGTCTGTGCCAACTCTCAACATTCACAAAAGGTGCAATTGTCTGGTATTTTCTCGTCAATTTGATGTCGTTTATTCCGATGTATCTGATTTCAATAAGGAAACTTGGCGGCACAAAAGCTCTCGTATTCTCGCTAGCTTTTATTCTAATTGCGTAAGTCATTTATTAATGCCAACTTAATTAGATAGCAATTAAAGACAATTTTGGTTGAGCCCAGCCGAATTCATGTCGGTTCGCGGAGTGCTTATGCTTCAAGCAATGAAAGTTATCACGGTCGCTTATGAGGAACAAGATTTGCGGCGTCGGAACACCGTTTTCGAGAACTTGGATTACCTATTCTTCCCACCGACCCTTCTTTTTGGACCGTATATGACATTGGAGGATTTCAAGAAGATGAAAAACAAAGTGGAATCAACCAAACTCGTAAGAATTATGTGTAAAAATCTAAAAATTAGAATTAATTTTAAACAAGCCCGTTTGAGTTTGAAGATTATTTTCAGCGTGAATATCTCACGTACCTATTTGCTCTAATCATCATATTCATCGGATCGTTTGCTCTCGTTTTCTCGACCTGTTTTGCCGACGAAATCCCGATATACTACGGTATTGTTGATTCATGGCTCGTTGCTCTTTCCTTTAGAGCTAGCCATTACTTTGTCTCCGCTGTGGCTCAAGGTAGCATCTGACGAATCTGGGGCAGGAGAGAAAATAATTTGTTTTCCAGGAATCGCCATTTTCTTTGGTATTGATGTTATTTCGACAAACATTCTCAAAATCGAGTTTCCGCGGTCAATTGCATCGTTGGTTATTGCATGGAGTCCGCCAATGCATAAGTTTTTACATACTTGTAAGAAAACCCGGACAATTATACTACAAATTAGAGTAATATTTCAGACGTTTTCAAAAAGAGCCCATTCCGTCAGCCATTCAGAAAAATAATGTACACATTTCTGATAAGCTCGCTGCTTCATGTGAGTGCAGTTGGCGTCGGGATTAAATGAGGTTTCATAAATTTGCAGGGTGTTGACACGCAAATCGCATTTACACTGTTCGCTCTCGGATTTATTGGATACTGCGAATCGGGTACGAATGAGAAGGAACTTTAAATTGATAATATCATTTGTAGAGCTTCGCCGCAAAATTGCTCAGCGCTACTCGATGTGTGTGAAATCAAAGGAATGCGATGATAAATGCAAGCATAGGCATAAATATGTACATTTTAGCGATATAACGGAATATTATAAAAATCTATGATTTAGGATGATCTTTTGGTTCTTCTCATCAACGCATTTTTCGGAGTTCTCACCATGTACCATCTCGTCTTTACCGGAATGTCGTTTGTGGATGAATATGCTCAAATAGGATACCCATTTCTCCATATTATTTATACCTGGCGTGATCATTACTACGCCAGCTTCATCATTTCAATCATCTCATTTGCTATCTCCAGATATATTTGAACAGAAAATACCATCCCGGTGTCACTTTGATCTCTCCAGTAATCAAACGAATCTATTCTTGTGGCATAATTCCCAAAACCATTGCTTTAATTGTTCTTTCCAATTTTTCGAGCATATTTTAACCGTTGTATTTTCAATAAATTATGAGATTTCACTAGGAGGTGCTTCTTGATCATTTGTTCGACCGACATTTTTTTCTTGTAAGCGAATTTATTTTGGGCACGTCCAGTCTGATCGAATTAATTCGGACATAGTGGTTTTTGAGAATTACTCACGTTATCAAGAAAAAATGTCGACGATTATTATAACAATTATTATTATTTCATTTGCGTGTTCCAGCTGGACGTCAATGTGAATTTTACCTAGTCTATTACGCTTTGTTAAAATCTTAAATTTTGAACATAGTGATTCTTACTATACACATTGTCAATTAAACTGTTAACCGACTTTCGCATATTGTTAAATTTTAATTGCTCTTAGATTTCCAAAAATGTTGATATAATGATTATTGTTACATTATATTCGAATCACCTTGGAAAATAAATGCTTCTGCTTTGATTGAACATTTGTGAACAATTATCAGACTTCTGTGAACGCATGGAGAAACAAGAATTCAAAATTTATTGAATTTTGATAAGTTCCCATAGTGTGCGAAATTAGATAATTCTTTATGTGTTGCGTTTAAAAATCATTCGAAAAATTTTTTTTTCACTTTTTTGAAATAATTAATTATTCAAAGAATTTCGATCTTATGTTTTTTTCTGGCTCCTTATTTCCATTGTGCCCAAGGAAAAATGTGTTTCCACCCAATAAAATATCGATTCCGATTCGTAATAGCAAACAGATTTCTTTTTCCGCCATCGAAACGAATCGCATAATAAATTATGTGCACATAGTTATCGAAGCTTGGCATCAGGAAGAAGAATGAATTTAGAAAAAAAACGCGTTGAACAATGAAACGAGATCTATTCATTAAACGTAGTGAGTGTCGATGAAAAAAAATTGAGAGCCGGGGACGTTGAGCGGCTCATCGCGAATAGTTGTAATAATTGATGTCTCTCTCATCGGTTTGGTGTTCGAGTGCAACTTTGTGCGGCTCGTGTGTGGACTCGCCGATCATGACAGCTTCTCATTCGATTTTCCACCCCTATTTTTCGGCGCGCCCGTTACTGAAACGCTCTCGAGATGTGCGTGTTGTAATATTGTCAATTTTTTTCGTCTTTGCGGTCCATCCATTCATTCGTCTTGATTTCAAATGAATGCGTGTCGCACTCACTCAATGATCTATCAATTTTGCACTTTTGAATATTTTTGGGGTTTTTTTTTCTCTCCCTCGCAATTTCCCATTGATATTTGGCTACATTTGATTTTTTTAGGGAATGCGACCCATTCACCTCATTTCGTTGGGGATTATTGCACTCTGCGATTGTCAAGTGTTGGAAAAATCGCGATCGGTTTGGGTTGAGCAAGGGCTTGTCAGGGGTAGCATTTACAACATTGATGGGAAGCATATCCAAATTTTTCGCGGAATCCCATATGCCGAGCCGCCTCTTGGTGAATTGAGATTCAAGGTTTGACTACATTCATTCATAACACGGATGATTGATAGATGTATTCAGAAGCCTGTTAAGAAGGCTCGATGGCATCAAGAGTTGTCAGCTGTTGAGTATGGACCGCCGTGCTTGCAATTCATGGATTTTCATAAGAATGATAGATTTGCCAAGGCAAATATGGAACGACAAAGTGAAGATTGCCTCTATTTAAATGTTTTCAGTCCATATGTATGTGGTGGTTTTTTATATTCTAAATTGCCTTTTAGAACGTTGATAATTTTTATTGGTAACTAATTCAGCAGACCTAAGCACCATGATAATTTATTTTAAATAGAGGGGAGCACGTAAGAAATCCATTTGTAGAAACAAGATTTGAAACAAAAATAGTTTTCCGGCATCGTCACTAAAAATGGGTGACTCAATTTTTTTCGCTTTTTTAGAAAATTTCTCAGGCAAAACAAATTTTGTGTGGAGAACGTCTCTAGCCTCAAAATTCATAAATTCAATACATCGACTGGCTTAGAAGATAGCCATCAAAAGTCTGGAAGATGACTTCAATTTCAGGATCTCGATGATGAATCGAAAACCTATCCAATTCTCGTATGGATTCATGGTGGATCATTTCTCGCCGGCTCAGCAGACACCGGAATCGAAATGGAAACGGTTGCGAAGAATCTGGTGGCTAAAGGAATCACCTTCGTGTCCATCAACTATCGCTTAGGACCATTGGGATTTTTAGTTAGCCAAAATGGTGATAAGCTAGAAGGCAATTATGGCATATGGGATATGGTTATGGCTTTACAGTGGATTCAAGCCAATATGAAACAGGCAAGATTATCAATAATCATGTTTAATAACATGATTAGTATTTGTTTTTCAGTTTAATGGTGATCCTACAAAGGTTACCGTAATTGGGGAGAGTGCTGGTGGAGCTGCTGCAAGTCTTCTCGCGTTATCGCCAAAAACGGAAGGTCGAATAACTGCATTATCCTGACAGAATAGTTGTGATATTTAGGGCTTCTTCATCAAGCCATTGTGATGAGCGGATCTGCTTTAGCCGGTTGGGCTCTTCACCGCCATAGCCAACCTGCATATTCCGTGGACAACATCGTGTCATATCTCAGGTAATTCAACAATCGGTACACACAGCCATATATACCATCGCATGCGCTCGTTGATATGTAGATGTTGTATATTTGGTTTGTTTAGTAGCCGCTTGAAATATTTGACTTCAAAAGATTGGCTGTTTGATCGTTTAGATGCGAAAAATGGATCAATGAAGAAGAGACTATGGAGATTGTTGGTGACGAATATCATTTGATGGTCGGATCGGATTTGAAAAAAACCGTTTGCAACTTCCAAGAGGTCAAGGTGAAATGTCTGACGGTAGATATTGTTTTTTTCGTTCGAATTGTTCATTTTCCGATTTAGGACGATATGAGCCAAATGCAACAAGTTGATTGTCTTCGTCGAGAACTGAATTTCACTTCAGCATTCTTTCGAAAAGCGCTTTCAGCAGAACTAGGTGTATCGAAAATGGTAGTCGATGGCGATTTGATCCCAGTTGCTGGCGTTGAGCTCGCCGAGCAATACTCAAAAGTTCCTATTATGACAGGTGTTGCACGAAAGGAATGGGGACATAAGAAATGTAGACAATATAATCAAGGAGAATTGAAATTGAATAATAATTATAGCGCTTTTTTATAATATGCATCAGCGGGATGTTTTAACAAGAGAAGAGGTAGAGGAGCAGGTTTACCGGGTCATCGACAATAGCTTCCATGAGTCGGCATCAGAAAAATTGTCAAATTCAACAATTCAATTACTTGCAAATGCCACCATGGTTCGGTAAGCTTAAATATTTTATTTCTTGCTGTAATCACATTATTCAAAGGTACGTTGAAAAAGCAAAAAGTGGGTTCCCAGCAAACCATGTGGTGTCATCATTGCAAAAGGTGAAGGACATTTGCAAAAAAATTCAAATTTTGTCTTATTTCAGCTTGAAAGTGATATTGAATTTGTTGCTCCCTGCCATCGCGAAGTAGCGGGCTATGCGAAACAAGGCCTTCCTGTCTTCTTATATTCATTCGACTATGTCCCAGAGGGCAAAATTATCGAAACTGTATATTTTATAAAACCGAATTTTCTACGAATATATTCTTATTTTGAAATGTAGGAAAAGAAGATCTATCGTTTATTCGGGGACAATCCGATTGAAATGAAACGCACTGAGAAAGATGAGACGGCGCCAAAAGCGGCATTCCATGGACTGGATCACGCGTTTATCTTCTCCAGAGGATATAGGTAATCCTCAATTAACAAAATAACAAAAATATCAAACCCATTCACTTTTAGTAGCAATTTCGAAATAATGCCGTATTCGAAGAGAGATGAAGCCATGTCAAAAATCCTATGCACTATGATTACAAATTTTGTCAAAAAGGGTGATCCGTCGCTTCAAAAGTGCACCTAAATTATTGAAAATAATGATGAAATTGTTTCAAGTTCAGGTTTACTTGGCCCATTTACACAGCGAACAACACTCAACATATATCTATCAATATTCCATTGAAGTATGCATTGTTCTTGACTTGAACTCTCATTTATGTGGTATAGAGACAACTATTCAATTTATAGAGTAATTGATGGAGACATTCATTGGCCGGACCCACAATTCTGGAATATTGAAGCTGATCTTATCACTGGCTATATTGCCAAAGATAGCGAAACGGTTCTTGATCCTGATGCCGATCTTACAAACGAGGAACGCGTTCAGGTTTTTTGTAACATTTCCTAATTCGTCTCATTAATTGATTCCAGCTTTCTGCGTACCGCCGATCATGGTACGCACTTTGGGTGCTCGTCATCATTCTATCGATTTTGATCTGGGCGTTCGTTGCCTATTGCACCTATCAAAAATCGCAAAGCGGACGAAGCAAACCCTATGATAATATTTTGTTGTCAAATTAATTAAGAATCGATCGCAAAAATTCAGGCGTCACAAAACCATTCCATTCAATGATGAGATAATTGTACATATAAATAAACTCTTGTTAATAACAATAGGAAAAGCGAGTATCGTCAAAAAACATTATACGGACCACAAGATTTGATGTGACATGTCCAAGTCTGCGATATTTATAATTAAAGGGAGGAAAATTTCTTCCTGTGTACTTACTTTGCGTTTATAGCGTTTTCTTGGAACACAATTTTCCGGGTGCAAATTGAATTGCGATTAAAATCATACATACATTCATCAATGAAGGAGAGGCTAATTTAAACTGCTCCACCCCCCCCCCAGCCCTCCTCATGCTGCTCACGTTTTCTTCTAGTGAAACAATTAAATTTAAGCGGACAATTTTTTTATAGTTCAAATTTTATTGCCATTGTCAGAGCATGTGGCCTGCACGCCCAAAAATCGCTTCTTATAATTCGATATACACGTCACAAAGGAAATCTGCTTAACGCGAATCGTCTAAAGCCAAATACACATTCTGAGACGAAAAACGTTCAGGTAAGTGTGTACACTTGGTTATGAAACCCAAGCTCGGTCTCATGCTCTCATGCCCCACTTTGCCAATGGCATATGATCGCCTTACATTGCCGTAGGCACTAATTCTCGAGATCAGTAAAGTGTGGAGACCTCCCTCCAAAATATGCAATCTAAATAAAACGGACGCGTCTCGGTTGGTTTTCGCATTATTATTATTACTTTTACACGTCTTAAAAAACGTTCATTCACGTTCCATGCATGAAACACCCATTTAAAGATATTTTTAGCAAATGTGCACACATTTGACCTTTAATCCATCCAATTCGACCAGTGTAATTTCCGTTCGTTTCAAGAAAAAAAAAGTTTGCGTTTCTGCATTTCGGCAAAACATTGAATGAACTCTTTAAATGTTACATATAACGGAAATCCATATTTTGTAAATTCGTCCCACTTCTGTTAAATTTTGATATTCATTTATAAAATTTAAAAAATGTATATTTCTGCAACCAAAAAAATCGAGTTGTTCTTGTGCTCTATTAGGTAAACTTAATTATTCATCTGCATTTATAATTTTTATTGCATCATCAGGATGTTCAAAACCTTCCAATCATACGCATCATTACATTTTTACAATCTAAAATATTCATAAGTCCAATTAAAATAATTGGTCTAGGTCTTTTAAGGAAATCATGAGGCCCTATTTGAAACATTGGCGTGAATGTATGGCTTTTTTTTTTGAATATGGGTCTCATCGGAACAATTTTGTGTTGAAAATCAAAAATTATTAAGGGCGATTTTGATGCAAATTGGCAACTTTTCTGGTTTTTGAACTCGCTAAGCCAGACTCGTACAAAAAATTCTCAGAATTTTAAGTGCATTAGCTTAACTTTGTTCTGAAAAGAAATTTTTTACGCGCATTGGTTTTTTGGTTTTAAGCCTTCTATGAGTCAGATTGATGCAAATTTGTAGACCAGCAACATTTTTTTCTACATGGAAAATACAAAATGAACATATATCTCACTATGTTATTGCCTTTTCTTCATGTGACAAATGTGTGGAGTCGATTTATAAGCTCCATTCATTTCAGATTCAAAACGATCGTCCAGATATCTTTTCTTCCGGGTTGGCCTAGTGAAATAGATTGTTACAGTAATCCATAATCCTTGTTGTTTGGTAATATGCTTTATTCCACCAAATTTTTCTCTCTCCTATTTTTTTTTTCATTTTTGAGCACGTGATGCTTGAATTATTTCTACTAAACCAATAAATCCCATTTTTATGTATTTTCGAAATTGAAAAAATCTGAGTATAAAGGAATTTTATAATAAAAACGGCCCATTTAAGATGTGCCCACATGTAGAATAATTTCTGGTCTCATTGTTTGTTCTCGACCCCTGAAACAAATTGCGAATCAGCTTCGTTTTGCTGCAGGCCGCCCAATGAAATCTTTTTGTTTTTTTTGAATATCCAGATTTTGAAGACGAATTTTTATTCTGCTTCATCTGCATCTTTCTTTTAAACATTATATTACTTGAATACCGATTAAATAATAGTAAATTTCCAAAAATAGTTTAACAACACAAAAAAGACTCCATTGTATACGAAAAAATGGAGAAAATCAAGGATTTCCGGAAAACGCGCTTCAAAATTGAATTCCAAAATCGCACTAGGTTCCATCGCGATAATTAATTCAAATGTTCCAATCCACTTTCAATTGTTTCGCTGTAGTCGCTTTAAACAATTTACATTGTTGCTTGTTTACTAAAATCTATACTATACATATAATTAATTTCCATATTATACCCTATTTTGTATGAGTTTCCTAATTATTAGTTTTCATTTCTAGAAACCACATTTTTAGAGGTGAAAAAAATTTGTTTCAAAAGAATTGGGACAAATTCTATTTAGCTTGATTGCAATTCCCAGACTATTTAGTTAATAATTAATTAGTTATAGTCTTAAAATAACTGAACGGGACGTTTTATTCACTCGCCGCCTAAGTTTAATATATTCTGTGCCGGAAAATTGAGAATAATTATGATGCAGTCATCTTTCAATGTCTTTGCTTCTCCTCCATTCTTGAGTCTTATAATTTCGGAAAACGATTCCTCATAGCAGAAGATCGAGACTGAGAAACCCTAGAACGGTGCAATTTTTATGAAAATCAGTCGTTCCAGCTACTTATTTTCAAAATAAATCAAGTTCACGTACCTCTTTTTTCAGAATTCGTTTTGTTTCAGCTCGATAATTTGGAAATGAGCAATTTGTCGACGGATTTTACCATCGGCAAATACGTCGAGTCATTTTGCGAATGGACATTTCCACTTCAAGCGATTCTGGGAATTGGAGGGAACACCATAACTCTTTTAATCCTTTTAAGTCGCAATATGAGAAGCAGGTACGGTTGTTTTATTTTTATTTTTTTCTTGAACCCAACATGTTCTAGCACGAATACTATGCTAGCGTTTGCTGCAACTTGTGACATTATCTACTTGCTCGCAATGACTCCAAATCAAATGAGCCGATGGCCAAGTGTTGTCTACGTTTCCTGCAAAGGTGCGTCATTGAAGATCAATGCGTCATTATTTAAAAAAGCTTCATCTTGTTTTAGCTATAAAGTTGTTTTCTGACATTTTAAAACGGAAACAGGCAATCGTCCAATAATTTTGAAATGACGTGTTTCCCCCAGAAAACTAAAATTATGTTCGATGTATAAAATTTTGAAAATGGCTCTCATTTTAATATTACGCATAAATTAATTATGTTCAGATGACAATGGCACCCTTCGCAAATGCTTTTCAACCTTTGCTTATTTCTATCTGGAAAATAAAACGCACGTCACGTTCATCATTAATTGGTTCTCGGCGGCGAGCACCTGGCTAATTGTTGTTGTTTCATTCGATCGCCTCTGGGCAATTAAATCGCCATTTTCAGCGAGATGCAACGCGTTAGAAAAAAAAAACGATAATGGAACAAAAATGAGAACTATTCTATATTTAGGGCTTTCCGCAAGAAAGATATGCTTCTAACCCTAATTATTTTCATTGTCACTGGAGCGATCAGCCTTCATATGAACTTCTCATTCACTGTGGAGCATAACTCGGTAGGAGTGAAACTTCGAAACACGAATTAATGATTTAATTGTTTAGGGAGGATCAAAAATTATTTCCGTTCAGAAACCCGCTGTCGTTCATCTCCTAACTGTTCTCAATTTAGTGTTCAATGTGCTCATTCCAATGTTTCTTATGATAACTCTCAATTCCTGCCTTATATATTATTTGCGAAATCGGAGAATGGTAAGAAAATTCGGTGATTTGTTAAAATTGTTTTTTTAATAAATATTAAGACATTGATCCCGAGACCGCCAAGAAGTGCTAGAAATTCGGCAAGATCCGATGACATCCCAACTCCATTGATAGCTGAAGTGACTAGTCGTTCGCATGTAGCGAGGCATCATTCTGGCAACAGGTGAGCACGTGCAACAATACTGATTTATAGCGAGATCATTTAGCAGTGTGTGGAGCCGCAACGCCGGAAAAACGGAGCGACATGTTACTGTAACGGTTACGGCAATTGTTACTTGCTACATCATTTCTCACATTCCTTCAGCGGCTCTCTATGCTTACATGTATAGCTATTAGCTCATTAAATATTGCTATATACGGTTTAAGGTATCTTTTTCACTTGAATGCGCTCTACGGACAAGGCTGGATGTACACAATGGTGGCTCTTTCTTCAAGTGTTGTGACCTTCAGCAAAATTGCCAACTTTTTGCTCTTCTGCATGAGCAGGTGATAGCAATAATATTTTGCAGTGTTTGTTTTTCAATAACACATTTCAGTAAGCATTTTCGGAATGAGATGAAAAAGAAATTCTGTTGGAAGGCCAAAGATGTGGCGAGCTTAAAAGAAAGCGGAAATCAAATGCGCACGAGGTAGATGAAAATTTGCAAAGTTGAAAATGAAGTAAAAATAATTGTTCAGGTTCCGATCGCTTCCTGTAAATATTATTAGCGATTCTGGAAATATTGTGCGCGAAGAATCGAATTAAAACAACGTTCAACATAACCGAATTAGCAATGTAATTAGTTGAAAAAGCACACTGGTTTCACATCACCAAATTCCTCTTCCGGTATATCATGATAATTGGCCATACTAATAATGCAAATCGATATCATAAATTCTGAATGTCTAGTCTCATTTTTGTTTTCATTTTGGCGCTACTTCTTGACGAGATCACTTTCTCGAAATTAGCCGGCTGGCTGCTGTTCTCAATTTGAGGATCAAATTTCGAGTCGATAATAAGTAGGACGTTATTTTTAACTATGCAATTCAATATGCTTTACAAAAACAAACATTAGTTTAATGCACTGCGCGAAAATGATGAACGTCTTAAATTAATAGGATTCATTTTGATGTATGACGTCAAATATATACATAAAACACACACACACAATAGAAATTGGATTTTCATCATTTAGCAGGAACCCGCGTTTAATAATGCTTTGAGATTGTTTTGTGCATCGGCGTCTGACCAGAATTTCTCCTCGTCATCATGCATGCAGAATGCGCCGGATTCATGGAAGCCACGAGGGCACTGGGAGACTGAAATTGAATTTTTGTCTTTTTAGGGAATGAATTTCTATCATACAGCATCTTCCATAGAGCAACATTCCATCACTACATTGGCATTGTGGAACATTCTTATCACTCTTCTTCTTCTCACAATAGGTATTTGGGCACCTACTCTGGCATTCAAGATCTGTCTGGCAACCGTATTCACCTGGCCACAATTTCCTAAAAACTTTGAATTTAATTTCACGTTAACAATTTCTATTTTCTATTACATTCGACACTCCCCGTCAATACATTTCTCATTTGGAAGGCAAGTGGAATCGGATTCAAAGTTCTGAATATTCATCACACACTTCCTCTTCGAGGCAACATTGAAAAACACTAAACGATTTGGGTTGCTATCAAAATAAATCATTTCCACTTACGAGGCTGCTCGGTCATATTGCCAATTGGGGCAAAAATCGGGCGCCTTCTTGCTGTTGATAAAAGGAATTTGCACGGTGAGCCGTACTGATCACAACCGTTTCGGGCCAATGTCAACACAGTGGCCGGCATTCGTTCGCATGTGGCACCTGAAGAAATAAACGCTCTTAAACTCTGTTGACTTGTTTCAATTGACCATTTGAAGCAGCTCCGTTAACACAAGAGCAAATGCCTTGCACACACTGCGAGCAACTGTTTGTGTAGCCGTTACATTGGCTTGACGATTGACACGAGGTTCCCGGAACACTGTACGACACAATTGCGCTAACGCCTGCAATATTACCATAAGCAGTTTGTTGGCAACACGTCACTTGCTTGAGGAGCAGCAGGTTCCCATCGAGCAACTCGAACCGGAAGGGCATGCATTGTTTGGCGAGCATTGGCAAACGGCGTTCGACCTGGTTGGGCATACAGGCTCCATCGATAATAAGCAGCAACCACCTAACAATTCATGCATTTTAAGATAATTTTCAATTTTTTTTTCAACCAAGAGGTGTGCAACCATATCCTGGCGGGCACTCGGCTCCTCGATAGCATCTCATTGACGATCTTCCTCCATTTGGGCACAATGGAAGAGGTTCGGGGCAGCATCCGCGACCTTTAAAATGGAATTAAAACGCAAGAAAAATTAAAGTTATACCTTCGCAAATGTATCCTATTGGGCAGGAATTAGCCATTCCGCAAACGGACGAAGCAATGGTTCCGCTTGAACACATTGGCATTGCGCAGCACACACCATTTTCGCATTGCTGAAGTATTAAAAATATATGAATTATAATTTGAAAGAAATTTACATTTCCTGGTGGGCATCCAATACCCATCGTGCATCTTTGAACCGCCATAAGACCGCTTGGACATCTTGGAAGCGCGCAGCATCCATTGTTCACACATTCGTAACCATTTCCGCAGTTGCCTTTGCAGATCGAAATGGCGATTCCTCCGGATGGACAGCTTGGAAGATCACAGCAGCCTCCATTAATGCAGGTTTGGCCGGTTGGACAGCAATTGTTACAGCCGCTTGAGCATCTTTGAGTTGCCGCTGCGTTGTTGGGGCAGGTCGGAAGCGGGCAGCAAGCTCCATTCGAGCATTCTACACCAATTCTTCCGCAATCGAGAGTTCTTGTGCAGAACCCAAGAGAAGTGATTCCATTCGAACACCTTGGAAGTGGGCAGCAAAGTCCTTCCATGCAACTTTGTCCAGCTGGACATCCGTTGAATTGGTCGCATCTTCCGCGGGCTTGAACGCCTGTAGGACAGAATGGAATAGGGCAGCATCCACCGTTTGAGCATTCAAGGTTTGGTCCGCATTCGGCACTAACTGAGCATCTCTTTTGGGAAATTTGTCCATTGGAACAAACTGGAAGTTTGACGGGCTCCTGACAGCATGTGGTCTGAGCATAACAGCTTCCAGCTCCACACGAACCAGATGAGCAGAAGCCAACCGCATTCTTAATATAAACACCAGTAAATCATTAGAAAAACAATGGAAATATTACCTGTCCAGCTGGGCAGCGGATTGGGCAGCATGCTCCTTGGAAGCACGCGTTGTTCGGACCACATCCCTTTGAGCAAGCAGTGGAAGATGGAGTACCATCAGGGCAAAGAAGCACTACATTATACACAATATCCGTTGATGGTTGCCTCTGGAGAGGACAACACATCTGAAGTTGCTGATTGCATTCAGTTCCTGATGGGCAGCTGCCGCAATGGCCAAGTGGAGGAGCGTATGAACCAGGACAGAGAGCTTAAAACTAGACATTAAAAAACCCATAATTCTAAAATGTTTTACTAATTTTGATGGTTCCGGTTGGTTGTTCATTTACTGGTACTGGACAGCAGCCAATTCCTGGAGTGCAGGCCGAATCTGAAATTTTTAAACACTTCAATATTATTTTTCAGCGTGTAAATTACATTGGGGGCACTGCTCGTTGCATGATCCAAGTGGTGGTACTAGAGATCCGGGACAAACTGAAAATCCAAAGCAATATAACTGAAAATGACTTTTTTTTTCTTACTTGGAGCTTGATGCTGAATCAAGTTGTTCAAGTTGAGAACGTCGGTTTGTTGGCAGCAAACATTCTAGAAAATTAAATCGGTAACAAAAAATTTCTTTTTTGAAAATTTACATTTTGACAGGTTGTGGAACCCGGACAAGAATTGGAACCTTTTCCGCAATTGCAGACAGCAGTCTGAAAAAATTGTAGATTATGCGTCCGAAATTTCTAAATACCTGTGTTGAGCTATCACATGAGTTTTTAATAGTCGCTGGTACGCAGACATTAAGCTCAGCTGAGAAAACTGTTGACTGTGAGCATTGCATTCGGGTCCATTCACCACAAGAATCACTAGAACCGAATTATGATTGTTATATGAATTTGAGCATTCTACCTTGGAGTTGTTGGAACACATTGGAAAAAGTAAGAATTGCTGGCTGGATCAAGCTGAAGGTTTGAAGACTTCCAATTGCACTCCATTCCTTGCACAGCGACTTTGTTGGACACTTGGCAAGGCGCTGAGCAGCCGATTGCTTGTGCGTTTTGAGCACAAGTGGTCTGCTGCCTAAAATGTGCCCAAGAGTGTTGAATTGGTAAATTCTTCCAACCTTCGGAACGTCTTTTTCTCGACACACTTCTGTTTGCTCTCATCGAATGCATGATCTTGCGGACAATCACGAAGATTCCAAATTCCCAAATATTTCTCGCTCAAAGAGTAGCCTTTGATCTGAACATGTACGCCAGATTTTTACGATCCAAAGTGGCATTGAGATACCTCATCGTCATTCAGTGGTGCACATTCAAAGAATTGCGATGAGTTGTCGGTGGGCCTCAAATGCTCAACAGTCATACACACAGCTCCAGACGTTGGCGTCTCGATGGCTGAAAAAAAGTTTAAATGTCCAAGATATTTGATGACATTCATTGTTTCAATGATGTCGTTGATCGCATTTGATCAAAAATCTAGCATTCTACGGCCTTGAATTTGATTCGGTATGAATGGTGCTTTGGTTGCTTAGCTGTGTCATCCCCCCTCGATAGACACCGACACAACAGTTAACTGATAACGATCTTCTAGAAACTAGACAAATTCAAGAGGTTCGCGTTGAATACCACCGCTGTCTGCCCTTGAACGCTTCGCCCTTATTTTTGATATACTCAAAGTGTAGGTACATAATGGTTCAAAGCGCATCAATGTCAAAAAGATGTCTGAGATAATTTCAACAAATCGTGCGAATCGCTCAAATATTTGAAACATTCTTTGAAAAACCTGAAAGATCACTCACCATTACTCGTGTATAGGAGGGATGAAAGAATAAATAGAAATAACTGCATGACAATAAATAGTCAAGAATAAATAGTATAAATTAATTTAAATTATATTGTATTATTTATAATGAAATAAAAAACAACACACGGCAACGGTCGTTATTTCTCAAAAATATATCCGGATTCTTTGTGCCGTTTGCTCTCCCATTTATATGCCGCCGGTCGTCTTCCGGAAACTAGTTTTGGTGGCTCGCCTTCGCGTCGTTTTTTTTTTCTTCGCTGCCGAGTTAGTTTTTTCGAGTGCTCACGGGTTCATGCATGATGACACGGTGCATGGATTTTGATCAAATGAATGACTCATGCCTCACGCGTCAATTCAAGTGGCAGCGTACGTGATTGATCAAATACTACTAGTTAATTTTTAAAGTCAATAATTAGTCACTAAAGATCTTAAAATTTGTCATAAATATATTCTTGTTACGTTTTTTTTTTAATTGTGTTATTACAGGTTTGCCGCCCCTCTCTCTCTTTTTTTTGAGATTCACTCACCTCAAAAAATTACTAGCATATCATTAGAAGCAACCTTTGTATACGTGGCAATTTCCGTGAAATCAAAATCACACAACCACAAATTGTATTCCTTCCTTTTAAGGAAGTGATTTTTCAGGATTGTAAAGTATCAAAAGAATCATACACTGCAACGTTTAGAAAGAACACGTCGTATTGCGTAAAATTTGGTGGCGAAATGAATATTGTGGTCAATGACCATTTTTTTTCTAGAAAAATACTCGTTCAGCCGGCAAATTACATAAAAAAAACATCTTCACTATTGACCAAAGTGCTTTCTTGTTTGTTCACCAAAATTATGAGCCAATAGAGGGGTGTTCACTTCACTTCTGGAGAGTTGCGTTACTCGAAGCAAAAAAAATGTTGTCTACAGTTGTTTGTGTTTTGGATCAGTTTTCATGCTCATGTTTGTGAGATCAAGTGGTCAGTTGTCCGGACGTGTTGTGCTGCGTGCTCCCGATTCACAGCATTTTTTCCGTTTCCGCAATGAAGATTAGGCCATCTCGGTCAACATTCAAAGCGAACAATGTGGAATGAAAAATTCAAACAAAATCATTGAGAATCCCCCCCCCCTTCCCGCTTCATCAAACTCAACCCGAAATTTATAGGTATATCAATGTTTTTGTTTCAACGTTGCAAATCGATTTACAACATCGTCAGCTTGTCTTCATTAACCTTATTACACCTGAAGAAGTGCCCCTCTCCCCAAAACGAAAATTCTGCGGTGAGTGTCTGTCTGATTTACATCTGACATTGAATAAAGAAGGAAAAAGACAGGTATACCATGCTTGCCACAAAAAGCCCATTCACCTTCTTCATCGATTTTTTGCCTCGCCCGGCCCGTCCCGCATTCTCATCTTTTAAACTTAAGATTATGTGATTTGTGAGTCGGCGGCAAAATGTTTTTCGTATTGAAACATATCATGCTAATGTGATATTGATTTTAAATGCTCAAAAAAATAAATCACTTGGAATCAAATAGTTCATCCCGCCTCCTCATTTTCAAGGTATCAAAATTTGGACCGGAAGCCGAAAAATGCGATATCAACCACGGCATTGTGACAACAATGCAATGCCACACAAATTGTTACACTGATATTGATAACCACCGAACGGCTAGCCTATGAACATTAAGCTCGGTTTCTAACGTATCAACGATCAAAATAGATAAAGAAAGGAAAGGGAAAGATTAATTAAGAGGGTTATCGAGATTATTATACAGTTCTAAAACATTGCTTCTATAAGCGCTTGTTTGGAGAACAAAAGAGCATTGTTTAGCTTTTGAAACGTTGAGTGCAGTTTGCTTTGTATTAAGCATGATCAAACATTATATATCACCTTTGGAAGAACCAAAACTTAGGCTTTGCGAGAATTTTCTGAAACCTCGCTCCCTCGTTTTGACATCAATGCACTCAACATATCCACAAAATTGGTTCCTCTGATTCGCGGAACACGCTGATTACCCCCCCCCCTAGTCTAATCATTCATGTTAGTGTTTTTGCTGTTCAAAAAAGCAGAGAAGCATTGGTATCATTTCTTTTTTTTTCAAATTTCCCATTTAATGATCATGGCAAACGAGGAGACGATCGGTAGCGGGTCCCAAAATTCGCGCCACCGTGCGCCGGTTTTTTCAAGGGCATCATCACATCACCCCCCCCCCTCGACACAACATTCTATCTGAGACGATTCGCGGCGAGTCGGTTTTGAGTTGTAGCTAACAGCGCTATTGGCAGGAACTGGCTGGACGGCGGCGACGCCGACGTCGTCAAGGAAAATTTTTGCGATGAAGCCCCCAGTACAGGTGAAAGTTGAACGTAATCGACGGTGTTCCTCACATTTATCGACTCCGTAGCGATAAGCCGCCGAAAATGAATTATTACGTCACTGGAAGAAGGAACGTCGCTTCATCAGCGATATTTTTTTTTACATAAGACTACAGATGAAGATTGAAGGTGATCGAAGATCGGACTTCATGGGATTATACCCCTTTTTCCTTATTACAACAAACCAAAATACTAATTATTTTATAGATGAATGAACCTCTGGCATTCATGCTTCCTATCGAAAGTTTGTGTTTTTCTTTCGATTAGAAATTACAACAGAGATTAATGGCTAGCTTCTAAAGTTCCACACTATTTTCACTAGGAATTTAAAGGAAATTGTGGTTTCAGTGCAGAAAAAAAAGCGAAAGATTGAAATGATTTCAACATAAAATTAGCATGTGAACAGAATGTGAAATCTCTTCTTGATGAATGCAAAAGATGCAATTGAATTGCGACAGTGGAAGGTTAAGCTTGCCAAAATACTTTTGTCAAGATAACTGGTGATTTTTTTAAAATAAGCTTAACAATTGATCTGTAATTTTCTAATAATTTGATTTCGTAAAAATATCATTTCTTTGAATGTCAAAATGCAGATCGAACATCTCCCTTGGCAAAATGGGCATTTTCATTTCAGATTTTTTTTTGTTCAAATGAGGATTCAAATTCAATTAATTGCTTCAAAATTTTCCGGAATTTTTTAATTACTTTGCTGACGCAAAGTTCGCCGAAAACGACATGGAATCAGCATTTTTTACACATTCCCATTTTATTGAGTTTAATCCATTAATCATGGAACCTAACAGATCAGAAATGAGTCATGATTTATTTGGGATATTAATGAGAGGGGGGGGGTATTTTGGAGAAACTTGCTACAGTAACGTTCCTATTCTACAATGCGCATATTGCCATTAATCATTAATTATTAATGTCGTATCACACTATTATGTTGAGGAATTTTTAAAATGTTCATACTTTAGCCTCCCCTCAGAGAGCAGAGAATTTCTGTTGTTTTTGAAGGTGTTGACGTTCATTTCCTTTTTCTCATCACGACCCGATGGAAATTGGAAGTAAATTTTCTCGAAATCGGAGCCTTCGCGGCGATATTTTGTGATAATGTTTCTACGATCAAGGTCGGCCAATAAGCACCTCTTCATCGCGCGATTGTTTTCGAAGCCGATCGAAAATACGATGGCGCAATAAATTTGTGCGCCTCCCGTCAGTCAGCTGCCGTTTTTTCTCATCTTCCTCATTCCGAAATGCCCTAATTTTTATCGCCTGATTACTTCGACTGAACGGAAAAAAAGAAGCGCGTAAAAAAAATAAATAACAGCGGCGGGCATCGACGAGGAAGTGTTTTTTGTTCATCTTCTTCATTTTTCATTGACTGTGGCCATGGAATGACAGGTAAAGATCTGATTCGGATTACGATATCTACAGCAATTTCAATGTCAAACCCATTTTGTATTACCAAGGTTTTGTTTTCAACCAATCGACCGAACAATTTGAATTGGAAGTATGAATGACCTGAGGAATCGACAACACTGATATAAACGTGCATTATTCTGGTCGAGGAACGACCCTATCACTTGCCTGAAAGAAATAAGAACTTGTCTTCAATGGTCAAAGCACTTAATTGCAATGTTGTAACAGTCAAAATTTCAAATTTTCTTTGTTATTAATTAATGCCCTCCGTTAGTTTAAGCGGTATAACAAGAAATGGACTGGCGGTAAAAAGAAGTTTTTACAATAGTCATTGAATATTCATGTACGTGAAAACAAAGGCTAGCGTGTGATGAATATTACACTTCTTTGATTCGCCAAGTTAAAAAATAGATATTTTGCATGATTCATTACCATGTGTAATGAGAACGTCAACATCTGCAGTCAAAATTTTCAGAATTGCTGTTATTTTTGTTTACTGAATTTAATTGATTTTTGATTTGGCATTTTTCAAAAACATCAAAGTACTCGCCATTTTTAGATCAAAATTGTTGAAAGAAATTATAGAATCCATTTGGTTCCTTCTCATTAGTTTAACCTCAATCAAAGCCGAACATATCCTGATTGCCAATTAGCGACATTGTGATGAGAACTAAGCCATATAACGGAAGCACAGAGCTTTTGACCTTGGCATAACTGTCTTAGTCACTCCCTAATTCTGTGTCTCTGCATGTTTTTCATTGTACTATGCGTGCCCGACGCGAAATACCGCCTACCTTGAATATAAAAGGCGCCTCTGAAAAGAATTAGATAGGTGTCTCATCTC